GGCATCAGACACACAGAGACACACGTGAACCTTTCGTATAAAGTTACAATGCTACCAACAGGGCAGACAAGGTGACCCCACTCCTAAATAAGTTATCAGGGGGTCTTGTTTAATCGTACATGGGGTCCGTGTCTGATGAAACGAGAAGCAAAGCTACTGGCAAGCTCTACAATGCACGCTCAAACGTGCCCGAGGTCACTGTCCTTATTTCACAGCTTCGGAATTTAGGCATCGCTTACGAACCTGAGAGATCAAGTCAGCCTGAAATGGAGAAGGACGTCCGATAATCCTTGCTGGTAGGTAAAAGTCCCTACTCCGATAGACGATTATAGTCGAATTCTAACAAGGCATCCGATTTCAAGGGCAGAAATGAATATCTACAATTTAGCATAGAATCGACCGCCAGGGAGATTGACCACTTTCCCTCTCGGAGCAAACCGGCCTATGTACCCCACGAACAACCTTGCATTCAACAGGATGTCTGAACTATGGTTCACGATTCTGTCATTGATCGAGCTTACTGATACTTACCAGGCAAAACGGACATGTGTTGGTAAAAGTTAATGGGGTGCTAGATCTGTTGGGACTCAAAAGCTGGCACAAACAGTAATTCGACTCAGTAATCTAGCACCCACAAAAACCTTGCTTGGCACATGTTGGCTGGGTCTAAGAGTCATTGTTGTTGCCTAAATATATAATTCGCAGAAGTACCATTGTCGGGGCTTGCATAATCGTGCCGTAGACGGTAAACTCCACTCTAACCGATAGACTATAAATAAAATCACAGATGCTTTCTCCAGCGATGGCTGAAACAGGAATTTTTTTCCTACGTTTCGGAATCACAGTCGAACCTGTCATCAGCGACAGCAATAGATCAAGTTAATGGACGCACAAATATTGCATGTTTGTGGGATCTTGCTGTTATGCAACTGCATACCTATTTAGATGGGCGACTCCCACGTTTGTCACGAATGGCTGTGCTTAGTGCACAGATAGCTTGAATGTTCCCATTCCAGTCGCTGACCAATGGAATTTTGAGTGTTAATCTGAAACTTCAGGCAAATACAATTCTCGTTTCCACGATCGCGCCTTCTTTTTCCTAAACTGTAAATGGGGTAGGTACATAAACAAATAGGTCAATTTGCCAACGAAAATAATTAGGCTGGTGGCACTTTTCCTGACATAAACGGTTTAGTGTATTTCTTCCGCATGGGCTTGCAGGTAAATGCTAGTTAACAGTTCACACAGATCAAAATCAGGATCCACTAATGCGAAACAGGCAACGGGGTCGCATCATACAAAACAAGTTCAAATCTTGTATATTTAACATGGACGAAATATTAACCGACTCTAAGTCACTTGATTCAAAGAGACATTTTCTGCTAAAGAATCGGCGGCATCTGTAAGTTATCTTTATCCATAGCAAAATCAGAGTCTTGTCACGGTTTACTCGGAGTTTCTGCTGTTTTGAAGACCAAAAAACAAAATGCAATGCCTCATTTATACATGGATTAACATGATGACCACTTTTAAGCAACCTTAAAGATATTATCATACAAAAATCGTTTCAGCTTTTAAACACTGAAAGCCGGCTTTCGGATAGAAACTAAAGGCTGTGACAAGATAGAAGAAGTTAAAATTGTGTAAGAGCAATAGAAGGGACTCATTTACCACGTGACATCACTTATGAAATGACGTTCTATGCAAACGCTGACATATTTGGCCTGAGGACTGATAGAAACCTAGAATGATGTCCTCTTAGACTGTATGTTTTTTGAATGCTTACTTCAGTTGGTTAATGCATACTCTGGTGTCAGCTGACTATAATTAGTATATCCTTCCATTGGGCCTTTTAAACCAGCAAATTGAACATTTGGACAACCAGTTGTGCTGAAATTTCTGCTCACTTGAGTATTTAATACAGAGAGCATTCCTAAGCTAGGGAAAATTTCGTGTCAAGTAGTCCTCTGAGAATGTAAGTTCTTTTTGAATCACTTACTACGTAAACTGTGGGAAAGCATTCGTAGCAATAGCTCCCGAAGTCATATCGTATTCTAAGCTAACTTCATATTATCCTTCACCCGCGTTCCTCTTCCAGTAAAAGGCTCAGTGTTTTCAAAATCCAGATTTATAGCATAATGTATTTTTTATCTGCTTTTTATTCCAAAAAGCAGTTCATCTCTAACTATGATGTCTTTCGTCAAAATGAATACGGAAAATAATCTAGTGGTTTTCTGTTGTAAATTGAAGTCTTAAGTAGCAAGCTCAGATTTTCGATTGGAAACAGTCGATCAAACCCTTAAGCAATATGTGGGCAGATGGCAGTTTGTGCTTTGAACACGCCATGTTTAATCGGATATTTCGGGACATCTTCTCTGGCCCGGCCTGATGTCGACCTAGTTCAGGCCAACATGCCGCGCAGGACTTATGTTCCTGAACTTTGCACATGACTTAAGACCAACAAGTTACATGTTTACGTATTCCTATGATCTTGTTTTTTGAAACTATGCTGTTATTAGTGGCCTTTGCAAGACTACAAAACATCATCGGCGTCTGGTTCCAGGTCTTATTTGTACACAGTCTGATTAACCCTCACTGCTTCACGGGTAACAATTTCTTCGCGGAAAAATAAAGGTTTGATTCTGTGTAAAATTTGGGACGGCCGAAATGAACAGCAACCGTTTTTCTTCGAAAATAAAACTTGGCCAAAATATATTTAGTAACAGACCGCTAAATTGCAATAAATGCCAGCTCAGGGCAGGAAGTGCTTATCAGAAAGGAAGAAACAGTTGAAGAGCTTAGTACAGACCATTAACGTCCCATTTACAGAACTCCAGTTAAAATCTACTTTGCGGAATTAAGAAAAACAGAATGTCAGGCTGTCTGTCCAAACGTGTGTGGCAGGCAGTAACCAGATATGATACAGGACAGATGACGAAACTAATGAAACGTGCGTAAATTCAAGGGACTAACTAACTTTTCCGAAATCAGCCGAAATGCATTGACCGGAGAACCTAATTGTAAGTGAACGGTGTTCAGTTAAGTGAATCGCACAAATGACTAATTGGAAACACCAACGGAACAAAAGTTCCTATATATCAGTGTAAATTTTAAAACTAGAGCAATTTTTATAATGAAGGCTTTAATTCTAAAAGCTAATAATGCATGTACATGCAATAATCTGTGTAGGCAAAACAATGTAATCACATCAATGTTTGGAAACAGCTGTCAGGACAATTTGCGGAACCAGTCTCATCCAAGAATTATTCTACTATGCAGTATGATAGATAGCCAGGTGTACGGTGTCTAGCGAAGTTTTTGGAAGGGCACATAGGATTGGGAATCAAAATTGTTAGTTTTCTGTGCCCCGTATGCGTTCAATCGGATGGCACGCTGCAAGAATAAATGCATGTGTAAGGCCACGTATCAAGGGACTGGGTATTGGAGGAAGAAGTAGAATATAATTAGGGGATGCAGTCATAAGCATAAGAATTCCTGTGTATCGCGAGAAGCTTTCTTGCGTAAACTTATCGTCTGCTCGATCTCAGGGCTTTCTTGAAACGCCCGTCAAATGTCAATAAGTTTTTACCTCTAAGTCGTCTGCTTGAAAGAATGATTTTTTCGCCTATGGTTGTCAAAAGCTGCAGAATAAGATGAACAAACAGTTGTTAGAAGCCTCTAGCTATGAGATATTTGCAGACGTCATTGTAAATGCAGATGATGGTTTGGGTCATCTATGAAGCCCAACATAAATAAGAAGCCAAATCTTTGAAGAATGTGTATGTCTACAGCAAAAGCTTGCGATGAGTATGGCTTACATTTAATATCAAACTCTTAAGTTGAGGTTTCTTTTTAAAATGCGCTTCGCTTGGGCACCTTGCAAACTAATTTTCACGTCCTCAATGTAAATTACGAGGGATTATTAACGCATCTTGACCGTCCATACAATTCCCTGCCTGAAAATATTAATTCTTCTACTAATTTGGTAGAAAATTACTTCTTCAAATTTTATGCTTGAAAGAAGGGGATAATTCGGTTTTAAAAAAACATTTCCAATTCCCGAATAATTTTGAAACCGACCTGCCCTTACACTTGTATTTAGGGTTTCCAAACTACTTGCTGTGTATTTTCAGTGTACGGAAAATTATACATTTCTGTACCCTACTAAAAGAAGGCATATAGGGTTAATAAAATTTAACACTGGATTTGAGCCATTACGTAAACTTTGCAAGCAGCATTAGTAAATGCAGAGATACGATGCTTTATGAACGTACATTTCGTGTTTTTGTTAAAAATCTCATAATAAGAAACATTTTTAAAACCGAATTATACCCTTCGATCAAGTGTAGAATTTGCAGAAGACGTAATTTTCTGCCAAATGAGTAGAAGAATGAGTATTTGCATCCAAGATATCTATGAAATATATTTGAATTTCAGAATTTCGGTTAGCAATTCATGGGTTAGCACATCTACTGTAAGTCTTCGAGGACCAGCGTAGTCCCCATTCCGCTGGCAAATTAGCTTGAAAACAAACCGCACATAAGAAATCCAACCGTCTGTTGGTGGGTCTCTTCGCAAGCACTTTTAATATATTTGCGAACGCTTAAGTCTAGTTGTGCGCTTATTGCTTATTGGCGTTAATACTGGGCTTTACAGCACAGTTTCGCACGAGTTGAATTCCGAATCGCTTAAGAGAGAAAAAATTTCAGAAAGACAAGATGCAATCACTGAAACAAGAAGTTCGTTGGCCTGACGCTTCGAATTCTCACTCGAAACCATCATCAGGAACAGTCGCAGGTAAGGGTAATGAAGGCACAAAGACTGCAGCACTTATAGTACATAGCTGCCGTGGAACCGCATGCGTACTCGTGATCACCACTGGGGTTCTCAAATGATGCGATGGTGGATCGTCGCGTATATGCACAACTACCGTCCATGAACTTCTCTTAGCCGACGATTGCGCCCTCAACGCCACCTCCGAAGGGGACATGCAAAGGAGCATGGATCTCTTCGCCGCCGCCTGCGACAACTTCGGCCTGGTCATCAACACGAAGAAAACGGTGGTCATGCATCAACCGCCACCCAACGCTGCCTACGTCGCACCCCAAATCAACGTGAACGGAACCCAAATGCAAGTAGTGGACAACTTCATCCACCTCGTCAGCACCCTCTTCCGCGCCACCAAGATCAGTGATGAAGTAGCCCGTCGGATCTCCAAAGACATCCAAGCCTTCGGCCGTCTGCAAAGCACAATCTGGAATCACCACAGTCTCCATCTCAACACCAAACTGAAGACGTACAAGGCGGTCATCCTGCCGACGCTGCTATATGGAGCTGAGACCTGGACGGTGTACAAGAAACAGGTTCAAAGATTCTATTACTATCACCTCAGCTGTCTTCATCGGAAACTGAGACTGAGATGTCAGGACCGGATCCCAACACTAGCGTACTGGAGCGGACGGAAATTCTCAGCATCTACGCCATGTTGAGACAGCAACGACTGCGCTGGAGATGCCACATCGTGCGGATAAATGACGAGCGGCTACCCAAACAACTCTTCCATGGAAATGTCACCACGGGTTCCCCCCGACAAGGAGACCAAGTCAGTCGATAGGAGGACACTCTGAAGGCTTCCCTGAAACGTCTGCAGATCAGCACGTCCAATCGGGGAGACCTCGCACGAGACTGACTGACCTGGAGGAAAACAGTGAAGACAGGCGCAACGATCTACGAAGCCAAACTTATCACCGCCGCCAGAGCCGAACGCGAAGCTCGCAAGTCCCAACTGCGCGCACCTCGCAACGCCAACACGCAACTACCCCCGACCTGCCAACGCTGTCAGAGGACGTTTCGGTCACCAGTCAGCCTTTTAGGACATCTTCGTACCAATTGCAGCACCCGGACTACACCAGCTGCTAGCCCCCGTCAAACTCTGTCTGGCCCACCTCGCCGACAACTAACACTGACCGCACTCCCGAACCCCCACTACCATCCTCCTCTTCCGTTGCCTCAACATCCGCTACGGCGGCTCCTGTATCCACCACCACTGCACACAATCCTGACACACCAAAAATCATCAACCTCCCCCCCCCCCACCACCAACAACCCTAGCGATGTTGACCCTATCCATACCTGTCCTCATTGAAACCGCGCCTTCACTTCACACATCGGCCTGCTCGGACACTTGCGAATCCATCGCACAGAGACCGGCCAACCCGTAAACGGAACACCCAAATACATTCGCCGCATCCGCCTCAACCGCCCTCATCGCACCCGCACATTCATCCGCCGCATATGATTACTAGGCCACATGCGCATTCACGAAAACATGCGGTAGGTAGCCGCCGGCTAAACCACACCATCACATCTCCCACCACCTACATCACACGACATCATCATCACCCACCAAAAGCATTCAATTGCTACCTTCTACGCCACTGGGGAGTGTGCATCTCGACTCCGTCTCCATGCGGCCCCTTCTGCATGTGTGATTCGAATCTGAGACTATCACGGCGCGTCAAGCGCCGTGGCTTGGAAGGCTGCTGACTGATGCCCCAACTTAGTCCATGCAGTCTGCCCAGTTGTGTGTGTGTGTGTTTGTGTGGAGTGGCGGACTGAGAACCAGCCTGTAGCGGCTCATTCTCAACGTGACCTGTGGCACTCTCACGCATGTGAGATGTACGTCTCCTAATCCCCCTTGTGCGGACTTCTGGTGCTTGTGGTTTGGGGGCCAGGTCGTGCATGTGGCGCACGCAGATAAGGTCACTAGACTATGTCAGCCGCGGCGCCCAATCCCGCATCAGTCAGCTGACCGGCTCGGGCAGTGGCTGGGACCTGAGAATGGGGCACAAGAGTGATATCGACAAATCAGCGCACTTTCCTCATCATAAAGAATCTGACGCACTAGAAGCTATCACGGTGCGCTAAAAGTTGCGGATTGGAAGGTTGCCAACTGACGGGATAACCTGGATCTCGCAGTCGGTCCAGTGTTGTGTGTTTGTCTGGGGCGGCCGGCTGGTGGTCTAAGCATGAGTCTGCAATGGCTCCTCCTTAGTGTGGCCGTTATGGCACTCCCATTCCGCGTGATCTGAGCTAGGTGTGATGGCCCACCTAGGTGCGGCTCCGGCTGCGCCAGCCACCCTTTTGTTGTTGGTTAAAATTCTGGTCATTTGTTGTGTGGAACAGGAGGTTTGGAGCGGAACGCCAAGGTGTGAGCTCGACTGTGCCATCCACTTGCGTCCTCCGCCCGCCTCCGGTCTTCTTTACTCTGTCTTGACACGGGGCCCAGTTGGGAAAAGAGGAGAGAGTGGGGTAGATGCAGCGCAAGTCTAAATTCACTATAAACTAAACCACGCGCCTAGTCACCGTGTCTGCTTCACCTTGCTGTGGAGCACACGGTCGAACTGTCAGATGACATTGTTGGAATACACTCGCCAATTCCCTCTGAGACGGCAATGTGGGGAAAAGCGCCACCTCTTAAACGCCCGTATGTCCGTTTTGGCGGATGTTTTCTACATTTCTGGTAGTAAATATTTCAGGAGACGGTTTTCTCACGAATTTTTTATTATGAAGGCAATCTCGCTCTCTATCATGTCCGCAGAGCATATTCTTCTAATTCGGCGAGTTAGGCAGCGAACTTGGCTTTGTTTCTGCTGTAAAAGGACAAGATACGGTAATTTGTGTATTGTCCCGTCCCCGTTTTCTTGCGGAATATTATTCTACCAAATAGAACTTCCATATAGAGAAGACTCTTCTCCTTTTTTACATAAATGAAAACCGACAATGGATGAACTTTATTTAATTACTCAGAAGAGCGTCCAGACTAAGCTTTTCCTCCGCTGTTACAAAGACTTCGATATATCTAATAATAAGAAGCGAGGTCTTCCATAAAGGAATGAATCTGGTTCTTCTCGAGTTTCTACATGAAAACATCCGCTGGTGGGCTTCCAGGGTAGGATACCACCACTACTTCTTTGGTTCAAGAGTAAACAGGCCGTTAAATCTGATTTGAGCATCTACACAGCGAAAGTGAAGCTCCCTTTACGGCTACAACAGGAATGCCAAATGGGAAATCTTTATTAACGATATCTTCGCATGAATATTACATCTTCTCTATGAAGAAACCACTAGTGGATAAAGTTTTTTCACTTGCGGCTCACATTTCCCATAAAATCCATGAATTCAGGTGTGTCCCGTAGCCTGCGCGTCGCAACTCTGCGTTCAATTAGCTTAAGGGTTACTTTCCGCTATCTTGTATTTTGGCGATAAGACAGATTGCACATGTCTAATACTGACCGCATAGCAGGGTCTAGTTTGTGAATCTTTGGTAGACTACACAACTTTAAGGGGGCTTGAGTTAGGAAACTTAAAATCTTAGAAGGCCAAATTCTATTTCGTAGCCGTACCTGTTAGGGGTTATGTTAACGCTGGTCTACTGCAGGTATGGCTACGAAATCAGATCCGACCTATCAGAATTCTTGTTCACTAAGTAAACGTGGGTTTTTCCGTTGCAGAAGACATACTATAGATGGGGTTTCTAGGAGATCCGTCTGGTTCTAATGTTGCCTTCTTCTTCTGAACTCAGTCTCATCAATCGAATTCATTCAATTTTTGAAGCATTATCACCCTTTCATTAGAACGATACCGGAATTCTTGTTGGACCTGACGTCGGCTATTTCCTTGCTTTGGTGTAGGTCTTTGAGTTTGTTAACTGAGCTGCTTGGCATATCAGATTTATATTGTTTGTAGCTCCAAGAGTGAACATAAAATACTCGGCTTCCGCCGGTGTTGTGGGCGCTAGGCCGTGTATTTTTTCAAACTAAGCTTCGTCCATAAATCTGTTTGGTCTTTGATTAAGAAATCAACATTTGTAACTAAGAAATAGTATTTTAACCAATTTTTCTCGAGAGCCGAGTTTCTAAAATTTTGTAAATACCGTTCCGTAGCATTTAGTAAAGTGGCCTGTGCTTTCTCATGAAGATGTTTCATGCAATTCACTTCGGCCGGTGGCGTGGTTACGATCTTAACATATCTCTCATAGTGTAGTCGTGCTTCATCAGTCTTTTTGTGTAATAAAGCCATGCTTTCATATAGGTTATGCCGCGGTTCTCCGGTTTCCGTCGTGACAAAACCTAGTCAGTCCTGAGTAAGTACCCCTGGTCTTGCAGTTGAGCTACAGTGCGTGACCTATCTCATGAAATGTTGGCTGAAATTCTGAAATGCGTTTTCGATTAGGAAGGATTACTTGGTCGCGGTTGTAATACTGATTAACTTAAGGCATACTCTTATAACATTTTGGACTCGGCAGGATGTTGGCTTTTAAATGAACTTCTTTTCACTATCCTGTGAAAAGCGTGCTCGGTAAAAAAATGACTACTTAAGTAGCATGCATTTTTCCCATTGATTTTCTATGGTCTTGCAAATTCAAATATAATTTATAGAAACCACAAACAAAAATATGCTTTCTTTTAGTCAATCAATAGAGAACCACGTCTTCTTTATATTTTATACTTAAGGAAGGAGTATAATTAGGTTTTAAAAAAGTTTTCTAATTGCCGAAAAATTTGGAGCCTGATCATTCATCGCATTAGCGCTTAGGGATTTCATTCTACAAGGTGCATGCGTTCCGCGTAAAGAAAATCACATATTTTTCTATGTCATTAAAAAGATATCATACAGAATCCATAAAATTTTGCAATGGATGCGGACCATGTTGTACATTTCATGAGGAGCAATGGTAAACGGCCAGGTACGATGCTATGTGGATGGACATATGGCGGTCTTAAAAAGTTTCATAATTAGAAACGTTTTTAAAACCTAATTATACTCCTTCCTTAAGTATAAACTATAAAGAAGACGTGATTTGCTATTGATTAACTAAAAGAAAACACATTTTTGTCTGTGGTTTCTACAAGATATATTCAAATTTTCAAAACCATCGAAAATCAATGGGAAAATGCATGCTACTTAAGTAGCCATTTTTTACCGAGTACGCTTTCTACAGGAGATTGAAAAGAAGTACATTTAAAAGCCGACATCCTGCCGAGTCTAAAATGTTATAAGAGTATGCCTTAAGATAATCAGTCTCACAACCGCGACCAAGTAATCCTTCCTAATCGAGAACGCATTTCAGAATTTCAGCCAACATTTCATGAGATAGGTCACGCACTGTAAATGCCCAATTCTTAAGACACGACCTCCAGTACATGTGAGGATATTTATTTGTGCCGAGCCCTAAGTCGTCATTAGATTATTTCAGTTGGGCGCTAACATACACGTCAACATTAAAGAAGTCCATAGTCCCTTCCCTCCCCCCCTGTTTGGCACGTCTGCACAACCTCAACCCTCCCCCCACACCACACTTCCTCCATGTCCTGGCCTGGTGATAAATAATCGAAAACGTGCGTGTGCTAACTTCACCGTCTTCATAGCTTTAAGGTGGATTGCTTTCAATGATAGGAAGAACGGGGGACAAGTTTAATAAATTTGCTTATATGACTAAGAGCAGAAAGTATTTGTGATTTTCTATGTGATAAATGGATTAACGCGGAAGAAATAGGCTTTAGCGCCTAGTATTAAGCATTTTGCAGGATCTTCACTTCGCTGCATGAACTCGGTTCATCATCTTAAAAACTGCTTTCTTGTTGCCATCCATCAAAAGACAAGTCCAATGAAATTATACCACAAATAACTATTTCTTGGTTATTTTATCCTGTATATGGGGACAGCACAAATACCAACATAAAAGATTATGCACTGCTTTACCACAAGCTGTAGTGTTGCGACATGGATTACCTTAGGAAACGAAAGGCCAAAATAGGATATTTCGTACAGTACAGTCAGTGACCGATCTCATGGGATGGTAACCCTAATTGCGAAATGTGTTTTCGACTTGGGAGTATTACCTAAGTGCGGTTGTAATATTTACCAGTGTGAGCATCATCTTAAGATATTTCAGTCGCACCAAGCGACCGGCTTATAAATGCCATTCTTTTCGGTTGCCTGTGAAAACCTCATTAAACATAAAATGACTGCTGAAGCAGCAGGAATAGCCTTTCTTGCGCCCGCTTCATAATAAACCATGTCTTCTTCAAATTTCATTCTTTCAGATAGGGTATCTTTTATCCGCTCAACTATCGCTGTATCGCTCTGCTTGTCAAAGTGTCTTATAACGCATGCAACGCAGTCCACGTCGATCGGAAAATTTTATGAGTCCTATATACCAAACTCCTAATGACATAGGGGAATGTATGATCTTTACTTTGTGATGAGTATGCAGCTTGTGAACTGTTATCTTGAACGTAAATGCAACGGCAGACGGAACACGCGATCATTTAGAGTTGAAAACTTTGTTCAGACCCAATTATAATCGATTTTCAGGCAAAAAATTTGAAGAAGAAGAAGAAGAAGAAAAAGTGATTTGCCACCGAAAGAGTACAAATAAGGATATTTTTGTATGCTTTCTGTGATGTATGATGTAACTTGGAAGGAAGTCGAAAGTTGGTGGAAAACATTTCTACTTCTTAAGTAGCCATTTATTTCGGGTATGGTTTTCACATGCGGCCAAAAGGAAGAGCATTCAAAGACGAGCATTCTGGCGTGACTAAAGCATCTTTGGGCCATAGTGCACGATAATCATTATTGAAACCCGACTTATGTAATCCTACCTAATCCAAAGCCCATTTCGAATTTCGGCTAGCACTGCATACGATCAGTCATTGACTGTATGTTCATTAAAAGATGATACTCAGTCTACACCTACTTGGGCTCATAACAGTATGTCCTTGGTCGCATGTGTAGCAAAATGTCTATTTTGTCCGAGTGAGATGCAATGCCAACTTCTGCCTTCTTCGTCCTAACATTTCTAGGATAAAAAGTAAGGATATTGCTACGATACACTGTAGTTCATCCTTAAGTTGGCAGTTTGGGCAAACTCATCTTCCATTGGTTGGTCGGGGAGCGCCTTGTGGCTTCTTTAGATAACTTGGGCAATATGCTTTTTTTACACTGACTGAAAGTGTAATTCTGTTTGTGAAAATACCTTCTTCCCAACCATCCGTTAAACCTTGCCTAGAAACCGATGTTTAAGAAGTGCGTAACATTTAGTTAGGTTTGTTAGACAGAATATCGTGGAGAGTTATTCAAAAATTTAAATGACGTTGTGTCAGGCAATGTTTTTTCCCAAAGACATACGGGTGGGCCTTACATGAAGGTGAGAGGTCGGTAAAAGGTAACTAGTTCCGATTACGACGGAAATTGCTCAAATGTCAATACATGCAAAAAGCTGAGTTTCGGCAACCACTTGAGGATAAGATGCAATTGCTGAACTAATGCTTCACCTCTCGGATTTTCACTCAAACTACTCATCAGAGGCAGCCTCAGACAAGAATGATGAGACGCACGACTGGAGCGGCATATATAGGCTTCAGCTGCCATGTTACCACATGTTCAATCGAAATTGACAGCTCTTACATTCGTCGCCGACAGCCGCACTTAGTGCGACGGTTCCTTGCTCGTCCCCACCCAGTCGTTAATTGTCACAATTTCCCTACCGGTGTTGCAATAATGACTCGGTAACTTGGGTCGCCAATACTATTACCGAAGGCGGTGTTCGCCTTCGTACTCAGCGCAGGCAGTTTCAGCACCGAATGTGTCGGAGGGAGGTTGTTGCGTTCATTGGCTCAGGCAGCTTGCAGCACACACAGTCGTCATATTTTACAAGAGTTTTGACCTCGCCGGACTTAAGTGTGTGACCGGGTCCTGTCGAATGAACAGCGGCTTTGGAGCCGTCTCTATCCTTACCACTGCTGCTGCATGTTTGGCCATCCGCGCTCTACATTTTACCCAGTTTCTGCGATGGTCATACCTTTCCCACTACTGTAGCTAATTCAGCGAACAACCCCAGTATTAATGAGTCTGACACTTACCTCTGTTCTGTATACAACCCCAAATCCAAACAGAGTTAGAAGGTGACCGACGGCTTTTAAGACATTCTTAGCATGCGGGAGTGTCTCCAAAATATGGGGTCGGTGCAATACAGTCTCTCGTTTCATTTGCCCAGGCAATAATTGACGAAGTTGCAATGACTCTCATCGTCCTCAGCACCCGTCCACGGTATTTCATTTCGTCAACATTTTATTCTGGTTCATTGCAGTGGGTCGCAACACGCAGTTATAATGCCCTTGCGCACTTGTACTTGTGCTGGATTTGATGGTTGTTGCGGGGGATTATTAAATACCTTCTTTTGTTCAATTTCTTAAACGCTTTAGGTTTAAGCAGCTACAGTCTTTGTGGCAAACGACGACATCCAAGAAAACTAACCGGTTGTTTTCCTCATTCTTTATTGTAGACTTATTGTCCTCGGAAACGGTAGTGAAATGTTCTGTGAGTGAAGGCACTCAGTTGTGTTCGATGACAATGAAGTAATCTTCCGCATACCTGGCCCAGAATTTTGTCCTGAAGTGTCGGAAGACCAGCAAATCCAACGGACGCAGGACCGCCTCGGCCACTAGTCCCAAACTGGTTAACGCCATTGATGTGCCTTTCACCTGCTCACAGACTGTCCTGTTAAAATTGTTGATGGGAGATCTTCACACCACCCTAGACACTATGTCGAAGGCGGGCAAACTCATTTCCCTTGGTGACTTCAAGACCCGCGTCGGCAAAAATCACGTAAACTGGGAACAAGTGTTCGATCGCAACGAGGTCGACAGCTACAACAACAGCGGACATTACCTCCTACAGACCTTCACGGAAAACACTTCTAGCCTTATCAACACCTTCTTCCGTCCGCTAAACCGCAAGAAAGGAATGGACTGCAATCTCACTCGTACCACTGGCATCCGCTAGACTACGCTCTCGTTCGGTGGCTTGACCGACGAGAAGTGCTTGTGACCAAGGCGGTGTGAGCTGCACAAATCACCAACTCCTCAACTTCTAGGTGAGATTCCAACCATAATTGCGCAGGCGACTTCAAGGTATGTGTGTACTTAAGCAAGTTGCTTGCCGATCGTGGTACTGCGAAAAATTTCTTTGCGGTTATGAAAATATATTCGGTCTGCAAGCCAGGGAGTTGCGCCATTGCTGAAACATGATGGGGTAACCCTATTGGCCCAGTAGTTAAAAATCCTGGAACGCAGTGCAGCACACTTCCAAGGCGCCCTCAACCACTTGTCGGCAATATGCGAAGAAGTCCTCAATCCTCCTCCTCGAACTGACACCAGCGACGAGTTCCACTGCTCGTCTTCCCTCCTTAGGACAGTTAGGGCAGTGTAGCAGATGTACAATGAGAAGCATCGGGGGCCAACGGAAGTCCAGTCGTTGTTTACAAGCACAACCTTCCACAGTTCACGAAAAAATCCCGCCTTTTTACTTCAGGAGATGTGGCGACAAGGACGCACCTACAAGACTTCCAGGATGCTACCATTGTCCACATCTACAAGCACAAGGAGGACGAACAAGTCTTCGGTACTGGCAGGGGCATCTTCCATCTCAGCCCCGAAGGCAAACTTTTCGTTCATGTCCTACCCAACCACCTGAACACGCATCTGAAGGACGGACTTCTTGCAAACGTACAGTGCGGAATCTGAGGACACCGTGGAACCGCAGACATGAGCGACGTGGCCCGTCAATTACAGGAAGTGTCGGGAAACAAGAGCCAGCCTCTAGACCACCTTCGTGGATCACACAAAGACCTTTAACGCAATGAATCGCGAAGGGATCTAAAGGATCATGCTGAAATTCGAATGTCCGGCGTGAGTCACGCAAATGGTGAGTCAACTGCATGACGGCATGATGGCGCGCGTCGCGGACAACGGGGCCGTCCCTGAGATAGGTGCAGTGACAAATGGAGTGAAAGAGAATTACGCACTCGCACCCGCCCCATTCAGCCTCCTGTTCACTACTACGCTAATGGACGCCTGCCGTAAAGAGCGACCGGGGATCCACGCTGATTATATAATATACGGAAGATTGCTCAGCATTCGTCCAAACATCTTCGAGAATGCGCAAAACAGGCGTCCACATAATGTTCTTGAAGATGACGACATCCTTAACACAACAACGAGAAAGGACATGCGGGCGAGTGTGGACCTATTTGCCTCCGGCCTCTCCAACTTCGAAGAGACCATAAGCACGGAAATGAGAGCATCCATGCACCAAATTCTGACAAGAACCAAGTTTCAATGTAATTCGCTTCACATGAGTGGACAAATTTACGTGACTATAAGGCATAATTTTTAGAAACATCAAAGTCGAAAGCAACGAAGCAAAGCCAATCACGCCGTCTGCAGGCTAAGACATCCGGTTTGAGGTCGTTGCGGCATCCTACGAAACACGAAATGGAGAATGTACAAGGCCGTTGTCTTGCCAGAGATCTTGTACAGGTCGAGGACGTGAACAGTCTATGAAGGCCGAACAAGATGTTTCAACTACTATAACGCCAGCTGTCTCCGAAAAAATCTGGGTGGGAATCGGCAGGAAATGACGCCAGACACTGAGAACCTGGAAAGAACCAACGTTTTCAGTATCCACATGATGCTGGAGTAGATACAATCAACGGTGTAGACTCGATTATAACCTGTCCCCATTGCGACCATACATTAGAATCACCACAGTCCCTTTCGAATCCGTCACATTGAGAATGGCGAACCAGTGTCAGGAGGCCCGGCATACACCCGTCGCTCGCGTCTCATCTTTCCGCACTGCGCCAGGGCTTTCGGCCATATGCGCCTTCACAAAAGTCTTTGTTGAAAAACCGCAGTCCAGATCCCACCGTAACATCTCGTCGTAACTCCTCGCAAGCACCTTTTAGGACTGCATATAAACTTACTCCACAACACCCGCCATGCACGCTACCCATATAAGCAATATGCCCCGCTCCTGCTGAAAGCATGCGATCCCTTTTTGCTATCGTCGTTATGGCGGACAACAGTCACACGTCAGTACATGTCCACTTCACTTGCACGAAAGGCGTGTCCTTTGATGTATCCCGGTACATTTAGTGGGAGTCCGGTCGTGTATCTGTGGTACACGTAAACGGGCTGTTTAGCTCTGTTAGACATTGCGTCCCATCCCGTCCACAGTTGGCCAGCAGGTTTACCCGGCGAGCCACCGCATCCCTCACATCAGAAATTGGGGGCCCTTAAAGCTATCACGACTCACTAAGAACTGTGGCTTCTAGGACTGATGACTGAAATGATAACCAGGTTCCATGTGGTGTTTTGGAGTGCATGAAGGACTGAGAGCTGGGCTGCAATGGCCCCTTCTGAACATGACCCTTATGGTATTCTCATGCATGTGAGTTCCAACCAACCTTGATGCATCCTGCTGGGACCAGGTTGTGGTAGTATATACGATGGGCTGTTTAGCTATGTGGACCGCCGCGCCAGTGTCCGCTCTGTTTTGTCTTGACGCTGTCTTACCACCGGAGAATGTGGGAGGGGAGGAGCGAGTGTGGCAGATGCCATGCATGTTTACTCTGATATAAAATGAACCACGCGCAAGTCATTGCTGCTGCGTCCATTCCGTAAGGCACGCGGTGTAAATCGTCGCCTGCGACAGTCAGACGGTTCCATCAGGTGTACAGCATGTCTTTAAAGCAAACCAGAAGTTGGAGAATTTCCGCTCGTCCCCGGCACTTCTCGATTCATAGTATTTCCTTTGCAGGCCAGGTTTGATGGTTTTGACTGCTAGATCCTTGAGAAGAGGAGTAAAAAAGGGACGTGACAATAAGAGGTATCCACGATCTCCTTTGACAAGGCACTTAGCACTTTACATTTCTCTGACAATGTTTCTGACTAAGTGACTGTGATGTCTGAACCGGCGGTTGGAAATTTGAATCGCCGAAACAGGCACTTCTTCAGTGTACGGTGTGGTTAAGAGGATAGCTCTCTTTGTAACCTTAATCCAACCTTAATCTTAAACCCAAGTCTGATTTTAACCTTAACCTTACTTTTTCTGGAAAAAAAGCACAAGGTCGCCTGTATTATGTAGGTTGTTATTCCCATTTCCTGCCAT